ACGTCGTAGGTTCATCACATGTCAGTCGCGCGGCTGAGCTTGTCTCGTTTGCGCGTCCCTCGTAGCCTTCGGGGCACGCCGTTCCCGGCGGGATTGATCTTGTCGTGCATGCGTCGCCCTCCTTGACTCGGCCTGCTGTCGGGGCGGAGGGGGTGTCACCGCTGCCGTGCTCGCGTCCCTGCAATCACCGTGGTCGCTGCTCGCTCTCATTTGGCACCTTGCTGTGTTTTGCGCCCTGTGTGCCGTCCCCCGGCGGGGCCGGACTTGGGCAGCCGCATCTGCGCGGGTGTCGTCAACTTTTCGTGTAACTTCACATGTACAAAAAAAAGCCTCATACTCCGCGCAAGCACCAGCGCCCTGCTGGACGGCCCGTGCAGCCCGGTTGGCTAGCTAGCGAATGGTCCCATGCATGCACTTCCCATCCTCCCAATTGCTGGCGAAGGCCCGCCATCGCCGCCGGGCCCTGATTCAGGGTGTTGTGCACCCCGGCCGCATAGGCCGCCAAAAAGGCTACCTCGCACATGGCCACAGCTCACCTGTTAATATCTAGGTTGCACGCAGGTGCTCGACACCTCGCTACCCCCGTGTAATCGACTGTCTGTAAAAAAAAAGGCGCCAGGGGCGCCCCCGTCGGCTGCTAACCACTCAAGTGTGTGCAGCCACGCGCCGCTCCACGCGCGACGCGCCCGTGCCGGGCTCAGAGAGCAGGCTAGGGAGAGGTCCCCCACAAACGCCCATTTCAAGACCCCCTCATCAGACTTGATCATACGGTTCCATTGCCGCGCGCCTGCGCGCAGCCATGCGCGCGCGAGCGGCGGCAGGCCGCTCTCAGCGCAAAGGATCGTGGCGGGCACGCTGCGCCGCACCCCCCCAAGGTGCCGGACGTAATTGTGGCATGCTGTTTCTGGCCCTGCATGGATCGTGAGCTCACTCCCCCTCGGCCCGGGCCGCATTCGAGGTGGGGGGACAGGGCTGGCCAGGCGTCGGCTTTCGGGCCAAGCGGTTTCCCGGGCTTCCCCGCAGCCGCAGCCTCGCTCGCGGTCCCACGATAATCACTGCTCGCTCTCAGGTGGCATTGCGCAGTGTTTTGCGCCTGGTGTACGGCCGTACACTGTGCAATGCCACCTGAGAGCGAGCAGTGATTATCAAGGGACCGCGAGCGAGCGGGCCCCCGGCGGGGGCGGACCCGCCCCCGGGGTTTCCTTGTAAGTCCTTGAGAGGCTGCGGGCCTCGCTCCGGCTGCTAGGGTGTGGTCCCATTACGCACTGGCGGCAACGCCGCGTCTGGGGGGGCTCGGGCGGCAGCATCGGCACATGAGTCGTCAGCCTCTCGTGTAACTTCACATGTATAAAAAATCAAGCGCATGCAGCCGCATGCCGCTTCAGGCTGTGCAGGCATATATCATGCTTCCAACACACGCGCATACTTGTGGTGTTGCGCCGTGCAAGCGAATCGGTCAGCCTACCGGTGCCAACATCCGCTTGTTTCTCCCAAAGGTTTGATGTAGGCCAATGCCCTTTGCCCCATGCATGATGTACGTGCGTGTGTTACATCCCCGAATCAAGTTATTGAGCCATCCCACTGTAAACATGGCACAACAGGAAGATAGCAAGTACAACCAAGTTTTGACGCATGCCACTCCTATGTCATGTTGCACTTCTTTGTTGCACCTTGCTGTGTTGCCAGCTCCAACTTGCGCCGCCAGTCCGCCGCTTGCTTCCGCAGGTCATCCACCATGTGTTTCAGTCTAATGTAGTCAATGGTTTGAGGTTGGTCCCTGGGGTGCACAAGGCCAAGTAGTTGGTGCATGAACTCGCAATTTGCTGAAATTGGGATACAGACTGCAGCATCAAGGAGGTGTACGTGCTCGCGAGTCATGCATGCATGGTGCGCGTCAGAACTTCTACGAGGCAACTGTAGAATCAAACATGCGTGCAGTGAGTCCCGCTCACGCGTTGCAATGCTCGGTCCGCAGCTGCTTGAAGGTCTTGTCAACACTTTTGGCATGTGCCTGTGTCTGCGCGAAATCCCGCTCAAAGCTGGCCAGCTCCTGGTGCCGGGTGCCGACATCATGGTCGAGAGCAGCGCCTTCCTTTTCCAGGTCGGCTAGATGCGACTTGACGTCGTTCAGAGCCTGTGAAGTTTTGAAATCCATTCGGTGCTTGGAGCCATGAGAGGAGGCTTGCTGGTGCATGGAGAGGGCACCAAGGCGCGGGATGTTCTATTGTTTCCACAATAAACGGTTGCCATGCTTGGAATTGCGGTGCAACGGGCACGGCTTTGCAATTTCAGGCCCAGGTAGGCGACGTGTGAGCCCCCAACATGCATGCAAAGAGGCAGAGAGGCTTCACCGCCTTCCGATACAGCAAAATATCCACCGCCGGTTGCCCACCTGCGCCGTCCTCCCGGTCGCCAACTTGAGCCGCAAAAGCTCCCTGTTTTTTGTGTCTATGGTCTCCATGTACTGCTGGTTTTCAATCTTAAGCTGGTCAAAGTCTACAAGGTGCAGGACTTCGCCCATCTCCTCCTTGTGTGCTAGCTGCGCCTCGAGCTTGGCGATGGCTGCTTTGTATGTGCTGTTCTTCAAAGCCACCTTTTCTAGTAGCACCTCCTTGCCGTATATCTTGTCCTCCCAAAACCTTGCATTTGAGCCATGGGCATGTTGCATCGCGTGTGCGTGCGCGCGCGCGCGCGTGCGTGTGTGTGTGTGTGTGTGTGTGTGTGTGTGTGTGTGTG